ATACGGAAACGCTCGGAGGATTCTATTTGAAATCTAACTTTGTAGAATAACGAGAACCGCCCACATCAAAATTATGCAGATATAAAAGTAAGTTTTATAAAAGCATACTTTTGTAAAATATCGAAATCCAAAGTGATAAATGGCAAGTTCAGAGATATCATAAAACAATATTCAGCTGATTAGATATGATTTACTACAGATAGAAATTGAACAACTGTTGGAGATGAAGAATTTCTGACATCCTATTGGGGTAAACGAAAAAAATAAAAAAAAAAGGGATCGAGACGCATTTTAAAACTTTTAAACACATAATAACAAGGAACCGAAAGAATGGGAGCTAATTTTAAAGAATTATTCATTAATGAATGATTTTCATCGAACAGACAATTCAGTTAGTTTTATGTCGATACTACTGTTGCATACTACTCTTATTCAAGCTACATGATCATAGATTTCAAAAATAGAAATGAATACTAAAACTTCTTAAAATTTCTTTTTTGTATAGATTAACTATTCCTAGACTAAAAAAAAATTAATAATGGCGGATGCACTATAAGAATATTCGGATTCTGCATTGAAGCCTCTGGCAACGTCATAAAACTTGAATTCAATAAATTGATCATCTGAGTTTTAAATACATATATACAATTTATTATTAGTTTCTTTTCTATTAATCAACTTTAAAGAGCGACGGTGTGATAAATAGAAAAGTAGATAAAAATCCGAGCACCGAACATACCTGTACCTTAAATCTAAGGGATACGCAAGTCAAACGGCTGCTGATATAAAACGGAACTGCTGATATATTAATAGATAATGTTCTATTTTATCATAATTAGTTCACATATGTTTCATGCATTTTGTTTGTAGAATAATTAATTATTTTAAAATATAGGCTATACATATTGTTAAAAGCATATGTTAAATATGAAAGTATCTATTAATAGCTCAGTTGTTGTGGTAAAAGTTAAAGTAAAATTTTTAACTACCAAAAGGTATTTATAATAATTTGAATAATTTGTTATTTATTTTTATTAAGTTTTATTACTTATTCTTACCAGTATTTTTAATTATATACGGATATTATTAACACTATTATTGACATTTGGATATTCAGAACTCGGATAATTTCTTATTTCGTTTAGAAGGATCGCATCCGTTTTGAAAATTATATATTCGCAGCAGTAGAGTTTTTTTTATTATTTCCGTGAATTGTTTATCAATAATGATGTTGAAAGCTCAAAAATATTACTGTTGCTATTAGTTAAATATGTCGTCTTATTATTTATCTATTTTTTCAATTTTTTCAATTTTAATTTATCCTGATTGATCGAAATTGGTTAGCCGATTGGGGTGAGGAGTTTTCTGACAGCCGAGCGGTCAACTCCGTCGTGTGGGAGTGTTAGGATTCACTGAGACAGGTTTCCATTCGTAAATCGTTTATTAAACATAGAAATGATGCTTACAAATTCCTTGATTGACGAGGTAGATCACAAAACGCGCGGATAAAGTCCGAATAAAGTTCTGTCTTCGTTACTTGTGGATGGACACTGACGGTGAAATACTCCGTAGGCCCCGGGGCGTTTATCACGGCTTTCGGCGGCTTCTCGTTGGACGAACTGACGAATCTGTAGATCGTTAGGAGGCCCCAGAGAACGATGTTTCCACAAGTTCCGAAATGTTTTTTTCTTTTCCAAAGATCTGGAGCACGCACGTCCAGGAGAAGAAACACTACGCATCCAAGAACCAAGAACTTTTTATGTCCTTGAAAACGCGGTTTTATAGAGTTTTTCCCCTAGTCTCCTCTCCATTTGTCTCTCACTGTTAACTGGTGACAATTTGAAACCCGATGGAGGGCGCAGGAGAGATCAGCGTCGCGACTGAATCTGATTCCTCTCTCGTCGCTTTTTGTCGACTTTATTCCTTTCCATTATTTAACTAATTTACACAAAAATTTCCATTGTTCGATTGAGACATCTAATCCTTTCCATTCGCGTCTGAAAAGGAGCACTTTAAATTTTCGATCGATAGCTTTCATTCGGACCTCTCAGTCGACCCCTGTTCGGGTTCTCACAAAATCGGTTTTTAAATGTATACTTATTCGATACCGATAGAGTCAAAAATAAATCATTGGTTTAATATAGCTTTTATTACTTAATAATACAAGTTATAGAAGACGTCTTTTAAAATAAACATCATCTGAAGTTACACACTTCTGCTATCATCGAAACCATTTGTCGAAGTAGTAATTAGAAGCTTTTTTACTTGTTTTTTGTAGTGTTTTCAGGAACTTCTACTTTAGCTTCTTTTCTACTTTAGCTTCTTTTGGCAGGTTCCTGATTAGTGAATACGGCCTAAGGGCATAATTAGCTTTTCTAATCTCCTAATTCCGATGACCGAATGGCCATCGGAATTAGGAGATTCGAAAAGTAAATTATGCCTATCAGTTAAGGTGTCAGCCTACCGTGTTGAGGAACTCACGGACGAATTCAGGAATTCGAAAAACCCCAGGATATTTTGTGGATGGTCTGTGCCAAATATGATAGGTTCTGACCGCCAAATTGTGGATCTGGTCGAATCCACGATGATCTTGATTAAAAGGTTTTCAGTGCTTTCAGGGAGGAAAGGGTAAAAAAAATCTTATTCTCTTATTTTGCAATCGCAGACATTTATCTGTTTTGTAAACAGGAAAAGAAGTTAATATAATGCAGTTTCAATAAGCGGTAATGTTCGGACTCTACTATGTGTAAAATTATCAATAAGCGTTTCATCGATTGTTCAAAAATCATTAGCTTAAAAATTAGTATGTGAAATAAGCTTTTTCTTATATTTTGATAATAAATTATAATTTTCTCTAGACTTTGAGATTTTTGTTATGGTTCTCTGGTATAAAATTTCTATAGATTAAAATGATTATTAAAAAAATAATAATGATGATTTAAATGCTTTCTTATCAATAAGTGAATTTTTTTGCTCACGCATAAATACGCAGTAATATTCATTATTGTTAAACCAAGGTAGGCCTTTATTTTCTGAAAATCGAAAAGAAAAAATTATGCTATTGGTATACAGTATTTGTTTACTAAGCAACACTTGAGCGTTACTCTTGGTAAAGTTAAGTTCTCTTTTGTTATATGGGTAAAGTATAATAAAGTTCTAATTCAACTTTTCTCTGCCCTTACTTCACAATTTTTTGTGCTGTTAGGCTATACAAACACTACGACATTTTGTTGTTCGCTTAGGCACACTGAACGACAAAACATTTTGTCGCGCTGCTTTAGCATATTAAGACAAAAAGTCGCTGTTTATTTCCAGAATGGATATCACCCAGGTAGCAGCGATTTGTGCTTTGGAGATACGCCGTAGAAAACTAAAAAGAAAAAGAATCTATTGGATATATACAATATTAATAGACTTTTCATTAAAAGGAAAATTTATACGAAGAGCTACGAACTTATCCGATAAAACTTTTTTCTTATTTTCGGATGAAAGTCAATAGTATTGACGAATTATTACATCTAGTCAGTCCTTCTATAAAACACAAAGTGATTTTTGTGTTTTAAAGAATGCTTTATAAAATGTCATTATCGATATAAACCTCGTGTCTTGCAATCTTTTATAATGTTTTCATGGCATATGCGAATCACGCCTTAAGCGTCGGCTGCGCCGCAGCATTCGGAGCCGAAATAAAAGATGAAAATGTGCGTACTTTTATATAAACGTACGGCCGAGTGGTCAAGGTGGCAGCCTACACTTCTGAGAGACGGGATCGTATCCGAATGGTTCGAAAAAAGTCTCAAGAAATTTTCAGGTGTTCAGGTATGTCGGGCCCTTACTACCTGGCCGAACTCATAATGGGCTTGCTAAAAGAAACCCTCTTAGTGCGGACAGTTATAATATATAAACACATAGGGCACGAGGACGTTTCGTTGCCCTATGTGTTTATATTTTTCTGTCTCCGTCATCGCGTGTCAGCTTAGTGTGCGCATTCCCATATATTGCAACGGATTTCGGTTGAGCAACAAAATGTTTCCGAGACAAAATATCGCAGTGTGTCTATAGCCTTAATGGAAGAGATCGATGAAACAGAATATTTAAACTTTTGACACTTTTATACATTATCTGTGTAAGATATATTGATAATAAATGTTAATTTAGAAGTTGCATAAAATAACACAAATTGACTTTTGACTATTTTCTTAAATATTTGTTATCGATTTGTAACAATTTTCATTTTCTTTCTTCTCGAATTTGTTAAGTATCGATCTTCATTCGTTTATTCCGAAATCCTAAAACGCATGTCTGAATACATAGAATAATTATATAAATTTTATTTAAATTAGGTATATACCTGATAGACAAATAAAAAGGGAAATTACGAGAAATAACGCGAAGAGGATGGCGATGGCGCTTGACTGACTTTTCGCGCATCACCGATTCTAAAGTATAGTGTTAGCACGTCATTATTATTTAAGTAACATAAATATTTAAAATAAATGTCATGATAATTGAAATTGTCTTACACTACAGAAGATTCTCATAGTGGAGAGTTACGTAAATAAGACAAGCTTTTGGAAATTAAGTTGCATATCGATTTATGCGAAAATATTTTGTAGGCCCTATCATCCTTGCTTACAAAGATGTGCAAACTTAATAAGGCGCTGCCCAGGAAATCTGCAAATGGCTAAAAAAAATTATCTAGGAAAGATTTCGAAACATTTTAAGGCATTTATCTCTGAAGATTAGATTATCTTATCCCTCTGTTCATAGAGCTACGAAAATAATTAAATTTCAGTTTTATAAAAAACTTCATTATCTTTTTTTCATTAACTTTTTATTTATTTAGCCTATTCAGAATTTCAAATTTATTTCCCGATTGTCGCCAAACTTCTTGCACAACTTCTTGCAATTCCCATTTTTGTTTGTTTATCTAGTACTTATTATTTTAATACTATATATAAAAAATTATTGTTAATTCTAACTAAATTTTATTCCTGCAGCCTGATGATATTATGAATTGTAAGATTCCCCATCAACTTAGATTTCCTAAAAACAATCTACCGACTCTAATAATCGGAATTATCATCGGCGTCGTTTTCACATCTATTTATTTTAATGTTAATTTTCGGAAAACGCCCTATTCTCTCCTGAATTGGCGATATTTAGTGAATACAAACTCGTTTCACAGTGATGAGGAATCGAAAGATGAGGAATCAGATCTACTAGTTTCTTCCTACAAGGAATTTCAAAAAAGTAAGAGTTTAATGATTTTTCTAATTATAAAATTAATATTTTTGAATACTCAAAAGTTGTTTATTTCATTCTAAAACACAATAATAATTTTTTAAGAAACAGTTTCTTTCAATTAATAGGATAATGTAATATAAATCTTGTATTAAACGGTCGTTATGAACTGAAATCAAAATTTATTTTCAAGTCCTTTGTTTCTGTAAAATTTATTTCTAAATATCAGAAATTGGATATTTTTCATCCAATTAAACTGAATATTACGACAATAATGAAACATTAACTTTGATTTATATTTTCGACTGTTTCGTAAATCTGCAATATCAATGATAAATTCAGTGTAAGAAAATTAACTTTTCATAAAATCGAAATTTTAAACTTTTACGCCCACCAGCGGCCAAGTGGTCTTCGTTCCCTGAACACTGGGATTTCGGTCGTGGGTTCGTGCCTCGCTCGGACGGGCTGGCCACGTGGAGTTTTCCGAGTTTTCTCTATGTCCGTAATCCCTAAATAAGGGCCAGTTTTCCTTAAAAAGACCTCCTGGAAGACACTCCTTAGGCAGATCGCCCAAGTGTTGCGTTGCCATAACTAAACAAACAAACATTAAACTTTTATCATTTTACATAACATAAAATAACATACATTTTACAACATAAAACATACATTCAACAATTCCATGCCCACTATTAACTGAATGAATAAAGCCACTTTTTTAAAAACTCTGTCTTGTGGGCACTAGGCGGGCTTCTTTTTTTTTGGAAAGTTCATTATGGGTTCGGGCAGGCGGCGAGGTACGGAACCGACATATCCGGACGGACCACCCCCCGAAAAACGCCCAAGGATTTTCGGCTCCGTCCGGATTCGATCCCGGGTCCCCCAAAGGAGTAGGCTGCTACCTTAGTTACTCGACTATCCAGTTATGGATAAAACCACTGAACACTAGTAATTGGTCGCGAGTCCGGACTGGGCTTGAGTTTTTCGGGTCTTCTTCACTTGTCTAACACTAAAATTTAAAGAACTGATTAGGTTATTACAAAAATGGATGTAACTAAGGACGAAAAACAATAAATAGTAAGGATGCGCCGATTAATCGGTAAGTAATCGGTAATCGGCCGTATCGGCCACTTAGCCGATTAATCGGTATCGGCCATTCCCACCGATTAATCAGTTTCGATAATCGGTAATCGGCCGTATCGGCCACTTAGCCGATTAATCGGTATCGGCCATTTCCCCGATTAATCGGTTTCGATAATCGGCCAATTTTACATTTTGGTATTTTTGTTAGAATGTTACGTACAATGCTAGTAATAAAAACTAATAAATTTCTGTTATATATTTATTATTTATTACATGACAATCTGAATATTAAAAAAATTTTACTAATCAAATTATTCCTTTCATCAATACATATTATAAGTATAACATAACGTATAATATAAAGTTTAAACTTTACATAAGAAAAAGTATTGAATAGGTTAAGAAGAAAAATTAAATTTTTATTTGTTTCATAAGTTTAAAGTTTAAATACAAAACAAATATAAAACAAATAAAAATTTAATATTTAAACTGTAAAACCCTTAAATTACAATTTAAGGGTTTTACAGTTTGTTTTTACAATGCAAAAACATGAGAATTTCATCATTTTCAGGGCATAACCTATTTTTTGCCGGCTCATAAATGTTACCTTCAGTGCTGAAAATTTTTTCACTTTCAATGGAAGATGCTGAGGCACTTAAATATTTCATAGCTATTTTGCTCAAATTAGGGATAAATGTAAATATGTTTCTAATTCTTGATCGAAACGTTTGTTCGTCTCTTTCTTTTTTTTTTTCTTTCTTTTTAAAAACATGCTATTCTTCATTCTTTCGTTTACCAGAAGCTAATTCATCAAATAAATCAGAAAAACTTAGAAATTCACCTCCATCTTGATCACCTCCAGAAGTAGAAGCTTCAGAATTTAATTCTTATTGAGATTTCCTCTAGCATATCCTCTTTTTGAAATTTCATTTTGAATCTAATAAAAATGACAAGCATAAAGACTTGTTTTCTATATATGCTGAAAATTTTTTTTTATTGGATTTTCTAGTTCTTCTGTTGTGGTATTAATGCCACTAAAGGAACTACTGATCTTTGCTTTTGATAAGAATAATTTCAGAGTCTCTATTGTGGGAATTATTGAAGATGAAGTGGCTTCTCGTTTGCTGGCTTTCCACAGTAATTTCTTTGAATGGTTTTACAAGTAGAACAATTTTTTCAACGAGAGACCACTGATATGGGCTCAACGTAGGAATTTTATTATCTATAGCATATGTGACAAGGGCCTTTTGCTGTTCCAACATGTAGTATGTAGAATTCCAGCGAGTAGGAACATCTTGAATTAATTTGTGTTTCTGCAAACCTAACTTTTCTTGCAAATCTTCCAATTTGATTACAGCTACAGCAGAATGATTAAAATGTGTGACAATATTTCTATTAACTGTGATTATAGTTTTCACATCTTGTTTAGAAAATATGCATTCGTTTAGTGTCAGCTGCAGCGTATGTATAAAGCATGATAATGCTTCTAAGTTGCAATTCCTAATTCCAGCTACCAGATTTGCTGCAGAATCTCTTAGTACTAAGAATATCTTATCACTTGTCAACTTATACTGTTCAAGAACAATTTTTAACTGTTCACTGATTCGTGTAGCTGTGTGGGAACCTTCAAAGGAAACAATTTGCAAAACAGCTCTTTCCTGCTGAAAATCATCCTTCAACCAGTGAGCTGTTACACTTAAAAAAGGAGAATTGTTTGTAGTTGCTGTCCAAATATCAGCGGTTAAAGAAATATATTTTGTTTCTGTTAAACACAGAAACACTTCAGCTTTTTAAACAATGTCGAAGTTTCCATGCGTCAACAATTAAGTGTTGAGATTTATTTTAGAAACAAAGGAAGAGATTGTTGATTTTGCGAGGATATTCGATCGTCTCTTGTTTACCTGACCTGAGGGAGATGGAAATACCAGGTGGAGAAAAATGGGTTTTTTCCACATTATAATTAACTGTATAATTAACTCCAGGATCTCACACTAGTAATGCAATAAATTATTAACACTAATCGGCCGATTAATCGGTATCGGCCGATAATGCATGGCCGATTAATCGGTAATCGGTAATCGGCCATTTTGCTTATCGGTGCATCCTTAATAAATAGTAAGTAAATACAGTATATTTCAAAGGATAGCTAGTGAATAGAATAAAATTATTTTTGTCAGCTAATGAATTAATTATATTAGAGCAGGTAATAGTAATTATCATGAAAACTCAGTTTGATCTGTAAGTCATTTCAAACCTCAATAACAATCGTAAGAATTGAAATGAATACAAATATATTATTAAAATGGAATACAGCACCACAAAAATTACTTATTATTCATTTAGGCCTACATGACGAACAGATAAACTTTGTTGAATGCAGCTGTATTAATGAAAAGAGGTATGATAAAGCAGGATAAGCAACTGTTTGTCAACTGTTAACCTATACACAAAAATTAGGAGTTTCTTTTTAAATATTGATGGATTGCTATTGAATGCAGACTTCAATTATTAGATTAACATTTTTACATTACATAATATTTAAAATTAAATTTCTTTCTTTTGACAAATTTCAGTTACAAGTAAAATAATTACATTTAAGTTATAAAACAACTGGAGAATATCAATTATCTTATTATTCGCATATTTGATAATCTTTGTTTTCTACGGTATTGAAATCAATATTCGTAAATGGTAATTTTGGGAACAATTTTTAATACAGTAGGTCCTCGATTTAACGAATTAATAACAAACTTATAATGTATTTTTATAATGTACTGTACTGCGAGTAATTTATAATCATTGAGCACGCTAAACATACCCTTTAGCGTGCTCTATTCGCGAATGAAAAAAATTCTAAATTTTTGTTTTAGGATAGATATTTTTTTATCCGTTAAATAGTGGTGTGTTAAATCGAGAGCTTACTGTATTTCGCAAGCATAATTTCCATAATTTATGATATTTTTCATGCAAGCAATCTTAAGCATTAAGTACTGACTTTCTAAATTATGAAAGATACATAACTTATTTACCTCCTTTCTATGCTTAAGACAGTAAGGAAATAAAGTAGATGCAATATGTTTTACAAATCAGTTTGATATATGAAGGATATCAATATGAGTAATTACGACTTTGACAATACAGTATGAAAATTTTTTCTTAATTTACAAATCTCCAAGATTTATTAACAATTTATAAATTAAAACTTTTTTAATTAACGATTTTTGATGATCTGATTTGATGGTCAGGTGGTAAAGGTAAAATTTAGACTTTTCAATATTTTTCTAGAAACGATTGGAAAAATGTTCCAGAACGCTCTGTGTGAGTATAAATAGAGTAACCAGGGAACATTTCATCACATATTTTATTGGAAAGAGATGCATCAGCAATGTCTGACAATATGAAACTTTCGAAAGAACACATTTACATACTGTTGTTCTATCACTTCAAAAGTGGCCACAATACAATTAATGCTCATAATCTCATCTACAAGGCATTTGGCGAGGACACAGCCAACAGGTAGTCTTGCTACAATTGGTTCAAGAAATTCAAGGACGGAGATTTCTCGCTTTAAAATCAACCCCATCCAGGTAGCAATTCCACCATTGATGATGACGCCCTCCTAAAACTGATAGACAATAATCCACGGTTGACCACCAGAGAATTAGCACAACTTGACAGTTCCTATACACTTCAAAAATTGAGAAAGTCCGATGCGATCTCGACAACGCTCCAGCACATAGAGCAAAGATAATCTTAGAGAAGCTGGCCAGTCCGGGCTGGGAGGTTCTGCCTTGTCCATCTTTCAATCCAGACTTGGCGCCAAATGATTATAATTTATTTCGCTCCATGTAAAACCATATTGCCAGTATACAGTTCAATGAAAATACCTAAGTGAGAACGAGGTCGAGACTTTCTTCTTTGAAAAACCC